CACGAAGCCAGACACATCAACCCAGATGGACTACCTGCAGGGAGCACTGGCCTGTGTCACTGTGGGGCAGCTCCAAACAGCCCACCCCATGCTGCTCCTGAGTCTTCCAGGGGTTGACACAGGGGCCAAGTGGGACATTTTGGTGAACATGATTTAGAGGTTCTGACAGGGGCAACTTCAAGGGGCTATGTGCACAGTGGGATTCTACCTGGGAAAGGGGCCCCAACCTGGCTCAGACATTGTTGAGACTCTTGGGCTCTCCAGTAAGTAAGGCCTTCATCCCTCTTCCATGACACAGTGTGAGGTGGGTCTTGGAATCAGACTACGTATTTGAAACCCAACTGTTTATCAGTAGGATTATCTGGGGCAAGTAATAAAGCTCCCTGAGCCTCAATGTCCCCATCTGTAAAACAAGGGTCACATAAGCACCCACTTTTTCTGCCTGACATGACAGAGCTCTATCAGCCCTGCCTATCACGCTCACGGCTGCCTCCCCTGGTGCATCTTTGACTGGCTATCCTGAGTTGTCACCGGGCTCCACCTGTGTGACTGACTGGTCACTATTTTTCTAAATGCATGAGACAGCAGGGACTTCCTATCTGCTTCACCTCTACCATTGCTCATTCACACTTTACCAATGGCTTTTATTTAAATGCTAGTTGCCTAATGCATGAAATCATGGGAGAATAAAGTTGGGTTTTTGTTTTATCTTTTTTTTTTTTAAGAGAGCAATGATGAGGAAGATCTCCATAGCAACAAACTGAAGATACTGAACATGTGACTTTTTAAAGCCAATGGCTTTTATTTAAATGCTAGTTGCCTAATGCATGAAATCATGGGAGAATAAAGTTGGGTTTTTGTTTTATCTTTTTTTTTTTAAGAGAGCAATGATGAGGAAGATCTCCATAGCAACAAACTGAAGATACTGAACATGTGACTTTTTAAAGGCCATGGGCACGGCTAGGGTCACTCTTTCAAGATCAAAGTTTCAGCTCTTGATATACAACAAAGGGTGCCAAGCTTGCTGGAGCCGATCGATCACCCACCCTCCGGTACTGGCCACAGGAGCCACAGTTGTGTGAAAGCTGAGAGTCACTAAGGGCCTCGTTAAAAAAGAGAAAGCAGACTCCAAATATTGACACACAGCTCTCCCCTGGCCTGAAAAAGGGAAGTGGAGCTGCGTGGCCTCGCTTTGGCACCAACCAAGTGTCTCTAAGCAGAGTTGGCCTTTCCCTCTCCTAGAGATGGGCCGTCTGAGCCAAACCACCTCCAGCTGTCAACAACAGCTAGGAAAGAGAGGGAGAGGACGGCAGGCTTTTTTGGTCTGTTTTCTTACCGGAGGGGAAATGGGACCTCCCTCTTGGTTTCAGAAGACAAATCCTAGCTGGAAAGCAAATCTTGCAAACCACATGGTTGGACTTGCATGCCGCCTGCCCCTTTCTCCTCACTGTCCTCGTTTAGAGCAACTCCCTAAGCAGCTTTCACTACAGCCAGAGAATAGTCCCTAGCAACTTGACCGCGTCCTGCCAACGTCCTGATCGCCAGCCAAGGCGTGGAAATTCCCTACACCCAAGGACATGCTCTCCTGCCTACCCACGTTACGCCATCCCTCCTTCAAGAATCTTTGCAAAACCAGCCACGGTTCCCAGACACTCTGGGGACACTCTCTTGTCCTTGCTGCCTGTCAGAAGCCAGCCCCTCTGTCCCCTGAGTGGCCCCACAAGGCCTGCACTCAGGAAGTTGAGACCTGGGGATGCACCAGCTGCCTCTGCACCCCTGTTCTGTTGCTGACCCCTCTGACTTAAGCATTCCTGGTCTTGCAGTTCTGAGCCACCAGATCCCCTGGAACCTGCCTTCAGGAGGTTGGTCTCCAGAAAGTCTGATGGGCATTGGAGACGGGACCGTTTCTAGGCTACAGGTGACAATTAAAACCACAGAGTTGAGGACTTTTCCGAGGGGAGCATCCAGGGTGAGAAGGCGGTGAGGTGCAGAGCCTCGGAGACCACGGGCACCTCAGGGGCGTCACTACACCCTTCCCGTGCCTCAACCCTTCTCCATGTTCAAGGCCACAGCGCAGCAGCCTCAATCTCCCTCTGTCACTCTGCTTCTGTCAGCACATCCCCCCCTGTCTGACCAATCCCCCTGTGTCCCTCCCATAATGACCTGTGATTACATCAGGCCTGCCTGGTCAGTCCAAGACATTCTCCCCATCTCAAGCTCCTTAGCTGGACCACATCTGCAAGGTCCCTTTTGTCACTGAGGTTGTCCAGGGATTAGGATATAGACATCATGGTGGGAAGTTCACCCAGCCTCCTAAGAAGGACGAGCCCCGTGGCAGAGTCAGGATGATGGCCACGGAAGACAGAGGCGTGTGAAGAAGGGTGCAGAGGAGAAGAGCCCCGAAGGAGAAAGGCAGCAGGAGGAAGGTGCGCGATTTGCAAGGTTCCTATGGATTTCTAGCTGCGAGGGCAGAATGTTCTTTCCCAGTGGAGAGGAAGGCTGCTCCCACCCTAACCCCATCACCCAAAAGGGGGACACCACAGCTTGTGCCTCTTGTCACCCAACACCCCCAAGAAGTATGGTAGACAAGTGGGAATCTGTAGGTTTCCCAAACTCTCCAGGAGACTGTCATTGGTCAGGTTCGGGGACCTTGAAATGGGTAGAGTCAACCCAGCGCCTCACACCTACTGGGCAAGTGCGCTACTGCTGAGCCCCAGCCCCAGCCCCAGGCGGAAGGTTTGTTTTGAGCTGATTGAGGCAGCTAGACCAGGTCTGAGGAAGAGGCTACAGGGAGGTAGAGTTGGTGCAGGGGGAGGCATATCCTCAACTTCTCACCCTCAAGACCACGGGCCTCCTCGTGGCGGACGGAGACTGGTCCCAGGGAACATGCGCCCAGGGGCTGGGTGCCAAGGCTTGGGCTGTGGGGAGAGAACCCCACACTGGGTGGGACGTGGCAATAGGCCTCTGGCCTTGCAGAGTCTCCAATTCTGCGGGGGATACAGGGGCTGAACAACTCACCAGCTGAGCTAGCTGTGCAAGCACAAAAAGTTACTTGACCTCTCTGGACCTCCCTTTCCAGGCAGAGAAACACAGCAAAATGAAGGGTTAAATGGGTTCAATTTTTTTTTTCTTTCTCTCTCTTCTCTTTCTTTTCTTAGTAGCAAAACCACTTATCTAAATTAAAAAAAAAATAGTTTAAAGGCATTTAGGGCCTGGTGAAGAAGAAGGAAAGGGCCCAGAGCCTTCTATTTCTCTTCCCTCCACTCCTGTTCCTTCTGCAAATCCCGGAAGACCTTGGTGACCCTCGTAGGCTAAACTTTCCGAGCTTATGTTAAAGATTAGCATGCTGGCAAGTCTAAAACGAAGAAGAGTCAAAGAATGCTCTTCTCAGGAAGGCTCCGGGAGGTCCCTGGTTAGAGACAAGGACACTGGGAGGAAAGGCTGTCCCCAGATCGGGGTGTGGATCTATGGCCATGTTTCCCTCGTTGACTTAGAATAGCCCCCCTCCATCCTCCACCACCCTTCACAGGACTCTGAATTTTCAAGGCTCTAGTGAATCAAACCCCTACCCTGGGCGAGGATCTGCTATGGGAAAAATGAGAGCTGGCAGCCACCAGTTCCGCGCCCCTATGGATGCACCATGGCTAGTTTGTTTTCCATTTAGATGTTCCCTGGAAGACTTGTAGTTATCTTGAACAAGACAACTAAAACAGTATCTGAAGCTGTTGCCAGGGCAACCCGACAAAGGACTTGGCCCTCAGCTACTGTAGACGTCATCTGTCCAAGGCAGCTGGGGCACAGGGAGAGGAAGGGAAGGGAATAGGCGGTCACTCCTGGTCCTGGGAAAAGATGTTAGAAGATACTTTTTGTTAAACCAACTTCTGTGGAACAGGAAAAAGTCCTGATCTGCACAACAAGAATCACCAGTGTCAGGCTGGGAACGAGGAGAAGTTTTCCACCTTTCTCTCTGCTCTCCGTAGGTAGATAAGGCCCCACCCAGACCTGGAAGACAGTCATATCTAAGCTGCTTCAAGACCCAGAGCTCAAAGCATGCCCTAGAGGGAGGGATGAGGCCAGAAGGCCAGTAATTAAAGAAAGCGTCCAGAACCTTCAAGAATGTATCGATACACAGATGACCCAGAGTTCTCTGATAGCTGTTCTCTCACAAATCATAACCTCCCACAAGAGCAGCACTTGTACTGAGACCAGCCCCGGCAGGGCCTGCAGAGGCCACGTACAACCTGCTGGTGGTGTGGACAGAAAGACGGAGGCCCACGAAAGCAACCTGTCAGGGCCGCACAGCTGAGAAAGGGCAGAAGGGAGTCAGGAGCCCAGGGCTTTGCCACTTCTCTAGTGTCTTCAAGCTGTGGGTATCAGTTTACCCTATGTATCCTGGACCAGCTTTCACAAGATGCCCTTTGGGATCCTGGGTTATGAGAACCCTGGGTTTCCCTTAAGGAACGTCTGTTTTGATCTATGTTTTTATCTCTGGGGGACCCAGTTAAATTTATTTAAGGGAGCCATCTATTAGAAAAAAAAATTTAAAGATCAGTCTAAAGATAAGTACCTTTGATATTGTTGATGGTTGTGCAACTTGTTGATATACTAAAGCTGCTGAAGTGTGTGCATTAAAATGGTAAATTTTATTTTTAAAAACTATTTTGTTATATGTTCATGGAAATGATAATATATGAATTATACGATATTTATCTATTTATTTTATTTTATTTCATGATGGTGAAGTTGCTGAGACTGGCCTCCAACTTGCGATCCTCCCGCTTCAGGATGAGATGCTGGGGTTACAGGTGTGTACCACTGTGCCTGCTAAATTATGTGAGATTTATTTAAATTAGAAAGACAAGCAGTGGATTGTGCTTAGGGTCAGAAACCAAGGAGGAACAGAACAGAGCAGTGCTGACCCCGAGGTCTCCCACCCCCCACCCCCACCCCCACCCCCACATCCGGGCTGGGAGACCCCAGGGCCCCTGGCTGCTCCTTACCGAGTTGGTGCCGAGGATCTGCAGATTGGGCTTCTCTGACTCCAGCAGCTTGGCCACCATCTTGAGGAAACTCTCCACGAAGAGGTTGATGCTCTGACAGTGGCAGGCCATGAGCAGCTGGTCCAGCGCCTCCATGGCGATGCACACGTACCTGGGGAGAGGGGCACCGTGGCCTTCACCGGGTGCCTGCCCCTCCCACCCCTACTGCCTGGCTGGGGAGAGCCTGTCGTGGATTCAGTGACCCCCTGGGCTGCGTCCAGGAGACTCCACCTCAGCCTGCCAGTGTCTGGGCAGCCAGTCCACCCAGCACCTGCCCAGAACAGAATCAGGATGAATTAGGGATGCACAGGGGCTTTAAAATGTCACGGCTGCCTGAAGTCTGAAGTCAGGTTCATATGCTGCGTATATAATAAAGGAGGAGTTCAAACATTTCTTCATCTTTATGTCTTGATCCAAATCATATCCATCTTTGACTCTGAGAACCAGGCAGGTAATTTGAAATTCTTGATTAGCTACTGTGTCTGTGTGTATGTTAACAAAGTTTGGGTAAATAAAAAGAAAGTACTGGAAGTAGGACTATAGGACAATTTCTGGCCCCACAGTATTTCTGGTGGCAGCTGCCCAGTGTCAGACACTGTGGTCAAACCGCCTCAGATGTGAGCCAGCAGCTTGGCAAATGCAAACATATAAAGTTACGGTAGTCATGGTGTCTTCTAAAACTTTTTTAAAAGATATCAGATACCAGTTCTTAGGTACCTTGCACTGACTTCTATACCAAGCAACCATTAGGAAAAAAAAAAAGCCTCTTTACTTTTTTCTTTCCACATCCCTGGCTCTCCCTAGCTTTGCCCTTCAGAGAGGTCACAGTCACAGCCCAGGAAACCTTCTGTGCCTTGCAGACCTGTCTCCTGGCATATTGCAGGGCGCTGTGGGGGCCAGTGCGGCAGACCCTGAGTGCTGCAAGCCTGGGGAGAAGCTGACAGGTTAAGACAGCCCACCATGGTGGGTAGGATCGGGGGAAGACTCTCGGGGATCATATCCACATCTCTCTGTATGAAGCCATCTGCTGGCATCTTGCCATTATTTTAGAGTTGAAATGAGGTGAATAAAGGAAGGGTGGGGCGGGTGGGGTTAGGCAAGAGAAGAAATCAGAAGGCTTTCTGAACCCCAGAGCTTGGATTACTCCTTTTCCTTTTCCTGGTGGGAGTGGGGGGCGGGGAGAGAAAAAGAAAAATTCCAGAATATCTTGATAAGCAAAAATCATCCTTGGTTAGGAAAAAAAAAAGCTACTGACCAGGACCAGAAATTTTGATGGAAAGTATAAATCATGGTAGAAGTAAAATTGAAACACAAAGTAGTAAAGAAGTATAAGGCCTGGTTCTTTGAACAGACTGCCCTGTGTTCTCGATCTCTGATTCCAGTACAAGGATGGCATGACTGTCACTTGAAGTTTTCCAAGTATTTTAGAAAAGCATGTCTAGTCTATTAACCCTAAGCTCTCAGAAAGATCAGAGCTTGGGGTCCTAGGGCTGTGTCTAATCAACAGGACCATGGTCCGAAGGTTACCATCAGCAGAGATCTGACCTGGTGCTGTGTCCTGGAAGGGGGTCCAAAGCAGCAACAGGCCTGGGAATCTGAACTGGCTTACAGTGGTTAGGAAGGCCAGAGTGGACTACAGACCACAGCAGTTGATGACAACTAACCCCCCCCCCCAGAACCAGTAGGTGAGGCCAGTAGAGCCCAAGGTGTCTGGGATGGACTGGGTGGGATTCATGGGCAGCAGAAGGGACCAGGGAACATTTGACAGTCTACAGTAGGAGGAGGTCACGGTTGGGGACCAAGCCAAAGGTGAGCTATAGTCACCAAGGCAGATACATAAGGGGCCTGGTGCTTAGGAGAGAGGCAAGTCCCTTATCCCGAGTCCTAGGAGAGATAACTGGTTCCACTTGGACCCTTGTCCTCAATCAGGAATGGCTCCTAAAACCAGGAGGAGGCGTGGAGCCCCAGGGAAGGAAGAGTGGGGTCCATAATCTGGGAACCAAACTTAGTTGGAGAGGAAAGGTAGATCCAGGGTCGGGGACTGGGATCAGCAGGCAGGAAGAGGGGGCATATTTACTAGGGCCAGTCACTGCCCAGGAATCACTCAAAGGACAGTGGCCTTGACCAAGAATCTCTTATTCAGGGCAGTGTGAATGTATTTGGTCAGCCTGCTAAGGACAGCCCACTCTGGGTTTTAAGTCCAGAGGCAAGGAAACAGAAGGGAAGGCTGGCCTTTCTCATCCCGAGGGTCTGCAGTATGCTTGTCTAGAGGGTTAGCCATCCTCCTACCAAGCTCAGTGTCCTTCTGGACAGTGACCCCAGGTCAGCTCTGAGCCAAGGTCCTCAGGTTGGAGTAGCCTAACCTTCCTTGGCCTCAGTGTCTCTGTCCCCAGGAATCAGCCCTGGGCTGGTTGACAGTTCTGGGCATTCGGGAGTCTGACAATGTCTAACATGGCACCCTGCATGCCATGGTCAATGCTCGGTGGTCACTGTGGATCAGCCCAAGTCTCACTCAGCACTGCTATTACCGCCCCTGCTCCCCTGTTTCTAGGGGGTGTTCTAGCAGTTGGGTTGGGCTGGAAAGGAAATGCACAAAGAGGAAGGAGAGGAATAGAAGGGTCATTTTTTGCTGCTCTGCGGTCGCTGCCCATCCTCTTCCAGGCCGATGACCGACATCTGGAAATTGACTCTTACCCTCTCTGCCGACACCTGGCTTTCCTGATGCCAAACACTTGTGAACCAGGAACACCCACACAGCTGGAAATGGGTGACGATGCAGGGAGGAAGTGGCCAGAAGAGGGGGGCTCTACCATGGGGACCAACACCCAAGGTTCATATCGATTGTGTCAAACCATGGAGCCCCCTGTGTCCTGCCAGGGAGACGCACCGCGCCTCCTGCTGTTTGAATATTTTGCTCTTTCAAAGGCGCTGCCAGTGATGAGGGAGATAAAGATGGATGTGGGGTCCGATAGGGAAAGACAGAAAAGAGGAGGAGAGAGAACGAGAGAGGAGCACTGACAGATTTTTCTTCTCCAATTGTTTATGATTAAAGCCCACGATGAAGCCTTCAGGCTTTAAATACCTAGATGCTGTAATGGCTATTTTTAACAGGACGATGCCAATTTTGAATCGAAATTCTAAGGGCAGTGGAAGGATTCTAAGTGGCTCTGTTGGCTACCAGACATTTTTTTTTGGGGAAAAAAAATCACTGCAGAGAGGGCAGGCAAAATCAGTATTAAATGTTTAATGTGTCCACTGGCACACGGTTTCAGGGTCAATCTAGCATAAAGCCATTTTCACTCGCTTGAGTACACTCTACAGTAATGTCAAGGCCCTTTATATAATCAGCATGCGCAGTGCATTCATGCTCCTTTTATTGGGTATATAACCTAATTTTATTACATAAAATTATTATACAGACATATTAGTTTACATTCTCCTTTTACATCAGGGGTAGCCTGATTTCAGATTTTCTAGGGCTGAGGGTAGAGCTCAGTGGTAGAGTGTGTTCCATGTAAACAACCCCCGACCCTCCACATACACAAAGGTTTGCTGGTGGTACCTGGGGAATCTGTTCCTCAGCACCCTGTTAGCCCCGTGCAAACCTTCTCACTCTAGTTCAAGGGCCTTTCCAATTTCCTCACCAGGAAGAAGGGCCTTGGAGAGCTGATGGACAGTGTGGGGGAGGGGACCAGGGAGGTCCAGGTAAGAGAACACCACAAAGGCCCAGAGAGCCAGGGTGTCATCACCCAGTCTGTCTGGAGTTTTATAGCAGGAGTGGTGGGCACGGCTGTGTTAGGGGCAAATAGTGGGAGAAGCCAGAAGTCAAGCTGAGGAACATGGATTTTATTCTAAAGGAACCAGGAAGGTATAGTTTCAGGTCTGTATGTGAAGAACCCAAATGCACCACTCACAAAATGAGTACTCTTAACATATTGGTATATTTGTATTATATTTTCTAGGTACTGCGATTTGTTGTTGATGTTTATTTTTTAATTTTATTATTATTATTATTATTATAATCTTTGAATATAATTATGCAGCTGATTTTTCATTAACTTAAGGCATTTTTCCTACTATAAAAGGTAAGCATCACTATAAACACCATTTTTATTGACTAGATAATATTTTATCAAACAACACACACCATAATTTACGGGGTGGGGTGGGGTACCAGGGATTGAACTCAGGGGCACTCGACCATTGAGCCACATCCCCAGCCCTATTTTGTATTTTATTTAGAGACAGGGTCTCACTGAGTTGCTTAGTGCCTTGTCGTTGCTGAGGCTGGCTTTGAACTCGTGATCCTCCTGCCTCAGCCTCCCGAGCTGCTGGGATTGCAGGAGTGCACCACCACGCCAGCTTGAACTCTTCTCCGATGGATAATTAAGTTATTTCTATTTTTCATTATTATTTTAAAAACCATAATTTACATCTCTGGAGGTAAAAGTAGGTTTTATATAAGATCAATTCCTTGGGAATAGTGAATAGAAATGGAACGATTAGATCAAAGGGCACATATTTTGAAGCCTTTGATACATATTTCAGAATTACTTTCTAGAAAATTTCAATCAGTTTTAACTCTTTCTAGGAATCGTGCCATTTGCCGAGTAGTACTGAAAGTATTTACTTTTTTTTGCTAATTTGATAAAACGGTATCTTAGTATTTATCCTTCATCTTTGATTAAAAATTTGTTGAATATTATTAACAAGTTCTAGCTTCCCTTCTGCAAGCTGATTATTTATGGCCTTTGCCTCAACTCTGTTAGTGTCTCAGCCTTTCCAGTCCACCCCAAATTATTTATTATGCACACTACTTGTGTATGAGTTTGAATCCTTTGTCTTACTTTTAAACTTATTTTTTTGTTGTTGATGGACTGTTATTTTATTTATTTATTTATATGAGGTGCTGAGAATCTAATCCAGGGCCTCACACATGTGAAGCAAGAACTCTACCACTGAGCTACACCCCAGTCCCATGTCTTACTTTTTAAATGATATTTATTTTTGGTGTTTGCCTTTAAAATTTTGATTGTTTCTCTTTTGACATCAAAATATTTAAATTCTTAAATAGTTACATCTATTCATTAGTCATTTTCTTTAATACATCTTCCCTCCTCTAATTCCCTCTCAGAAGATTGATAAGTATTTCATTTCAGTGTATTTTCTTATTTTTTCTTGGTCCTGGGGGTTGAACCCAGGGCACTTTACCACTGAGGTACATCCTCAGCCCTTTTATTTTTTTTATTTTGAGACAGGGGCTCACTAAGTTGGTGAGGCTGGCCTTGAACTTGCAATTCTCATGCCTCAGCCTCCAAGCCTCTGGGATTACAGGTGTGGGCCACAATTCCTGGCTCATTTAGTGCATTTCTAAAAGACAAATCGCCCCAGCCTTGTCTTCTCACTAGACCATGGACAGCTCCTCCTGACTTGAAGACAGTAAGTTGAGTGAGGAGGGATCAGGTTGAGGAAAGCAATAGTGTGTCCTGGGCTGAGTAATTCCTCAGTGCCCCAGATGTGTGGGAGGGCTTTAGTGTAGAGACTCAGGACTAAAGGATGCCAAAAGAGGTGCTTGGAGGGAGCCAACACCACTTCTTCCCAAATCATGGAACGTGGAACCCACCCTCAGTTCCTGTTCCATTCTCTCAGTCTGTCCAATAACCCAGACGACTGGATTTTCTTAAAATGGTATCTGTTGTTTTCCCCCAGTGATATAACAGTTTCTGGACAACTCCCTCCAAGCCACTGTACTTACCCGTATCGATGACGGCCCACATCACGGATGAGCCTCTCGGAGAGGTAGGCGCCGATCCGATCTAGCTTTTCTGGAGCCGACAGGGCATAGAAGGTCAGCTTCTCCATGTTGGTCTTCACCAGGCCATCCTGGAAAAGAGGGTTCAAGATCATCGTGGCAGGGCTAGGGCAGAAGGGTTCAGGTCTGGAGGTAGACGTCATTCAACTGAATCAACATTCCCAGTGTCTACTGTGTGTCGGCCAGACAACAGGCCAGGCATTGGGGACACAGTTCCTGCCTTCCAGGTATTCAAAAACTAGCCCCAGCTACATGTGCCAGCTACAAACAAACAAGAATAGTGAATAACAAAAATATAAATGTGTGTGCATGTGTGTACATATGTATATGCACATATGCTCATGAGTGTACACACGTGTGCATGGGTGAGTGTGAAAATGAATGACAAGGTCTCATTAAATGGGACTCAGGATTAAGATGTGCTAGGCCTCTACCACCAAGACATAAAGGAGGCAGCTCTTTATTCTCACAGAATTCTCCAGAGGATGCTAGAAATGTGATCCTCCAACCACCCATCCAGAAAAGCCATTGATTCCCAAAGCAACTCAAGTACATCAAATCCTGACATTTCTTAGACTACAGCCTGATGCATGGGGGCAGCTTAGAAGCCAAGAAGCAGGGTTTCCCGTGGGTGCACACTGACCCCTGGCAGATACCAGAGGGAGTGGGGCAGAGACATGGGCTCTCCAAAGTGCAAGACGATGGGGGGGTGATCCTGCTAATCGGAGAGGAGATAATTCTCCCAGGAGGGCTAGCGCCTCCAGGGACAATCACTTAGACAGTAGTGAGAAGTGTCTCCGCACCACACGAACTTCAGCTGCCTTCTTCTGCATGCCCTGACTTTGGAGCAATCCAATGTCCCATCCTTTCTGTCCCCGCAGCCTCCACCATTCCCTTCAGGGTGCTCAGGTTGCGTGGGAAGGTCCAGTGTCCCGGGTGGGGGGGCACCAGTCCTCCTGAGCCCGCCTGGCTGGGGAGAGCTGCGGTGCCTGCTAGAGATGTGACCCACCTCGGGATCCTCAGGGAAGATGTTGTCAACCAGCCTTTTGTACCTGGGGCGAAGGGCGCCACAGCAGCCGCACACACCTGGACAGGGAGGAGAAAGCCATGAGCGAAGCCTCCTGGTCAGGCTGAGGAGTGGGCACCAGGCCAGGCCCCACAAGTCTTGTAAGGAGCCGAATCCTGCCTGGAAGCAGGGGGCCTTGTCTGTCTACTTCCCCATCCCCACAGGCCAGGACACTGGCCACTCTGTGCCACGTCTTTCCTTGGGGTCAGGCAGGGTGGAACATGCAGGGGTGAAGCCAGGCCACAGAGGAGCACTTGGAGCGGTGAGGCCTGGAGAGGGTTGAGAGGTCCTGTAAAGGTCAGGAGCCCCCAATGTCAACCACACACACACACACACACACACACACACACACAGGCACGTGGATTTCTAGGGTCAGAAACTATACAACTGCCCCCTGCAGCCTCAGGGGTCTAACCAGGTGTCCTGGGAAGATGGACACAGCATGCAGGCCCCGCGGCCCCTCCCTGAGCCCCGCGGCGCTCCCAGCTGTCTCTTTGCCTCCATCTCCCACCATCCTCTCCCCTGCCGCCATTTCCTCTGCGGAAGGCCACGTGAGACTATGATGGATCCACACGGCCATTAATTATTAACGTTTGAAAATGCATCTTTGATGCAGTGTGACTGTGGCATCTGGGAACTACAGCATTCAAGACTCAGGCTGGGTCCTAGGGGCCACCCAGCACGTGGTTCTCAAATGCCAGTCCCCGGGAGGCTTTCATCAATCAGTGGGCGAATGAAACGCTAAGAACAACGTGGCATGCTTTTGTGAAGCTAGATTTATTCCATGGAGAAGACCGAGATGACTTCCTTCTCGATGTTTGGCACCGGGAAGCGACGGCGTTAGGAAATCCAGGATAAAATGAACTTTGGCAAAGTTACTCCGGGTCCCACGGCTCGGCACGTTTAGTTCAAGAGGAAATCAGAACATCTGGGAATCATCGCTCCCCTCCAACCCTCTTCCCCAGGCAGGAACCTCTTCCGCACCAGCCCAGCTCCACCACCCTGCAGGAAGCAGAGGGGAGGGGGCTGCCAGGGAGGGGCCCGAAGGCCTAGGAAAGTCCCGCACCCCCACCCCCCAGGAAAAATCAGCACCCTTTCATTCCACCAATTAAAGATGAATTCCGCTTGTACAAGTGTTCTACTTGACATGCAAATGTGCCCTGGGAAGATTAGACTGTGGGTCATTGAGAGAAGAATGAATTCCTTCAGTGGGAATGACTCCAGCCACACAAAGAGCCCCACACAGGCAGAAGGCGTCCCAGTTCTGGTGGGGAGGGACGGGCCGCACTGCCTGCCAGGAGGAGGAAAGAGCCAGGATTGGGGTTCTAGGGTTGATCTGGGTTTGAGGGAATGGGGGTGTCCTTGGAGAAGCCCAGAGGCACCCGGAGGTGGGGCATCCGGTGACCAACCTCTTGGCATTGGGTAACTGATTTGTGAGCCCCGGCCCCCTGCCCACAGGGGAAGCTGTGTGGCTCTCAGCCTCCATCCCAGGTCGGTCTAGCTGACCTCCCTGAGTTCACCTGGCATCTGTCTATGCCATCCTGCCCTGTCTGGGAGAAGGTGTTAGGGCTACGGCTGGTTGGCACCCAGGGTCATTTCCCATGACAGGACAGCTCCTATTCCACCTCTTGGGCTGTGGTGGCTGTGCCTGTCCTCTGCTCCATCAGGCTCTCAGGATGCTTTATCCCGGATGCCCGGGTAGGACTCTCCTAACCTGTTTAATCCTGACAACATCAAGGGGTGATGCCATTTTTATCCCCACTTCACAGATGAGGAGACTGAGGTATTTAAAGGTTAAGTTACCTGACGAGGGCCACACAACTCCAACAAATGGCAGCCCAGGATTTGAGACCTAAAAGTCAAGCTTCAGAGGCTGTGTCACTCACCACTGTACCTGGGATGGAAAACTCCAGGCACAGATGCAAAGAGACGACCTCAGGGCAATGCACCTCAGACCTACCAGAGCCACTAGAGGTCTTGTTGAAAGGCCATTCTCATTCAACAGCTCTCTCTCTATATATATATATACACACATATAGGTTCCTGCCCTGGGGTTACTTGAGCTAATGCACCCCATTGCTTCCTCTTTACTCCCAACTCCCTTGGGAAAAAAAAACAAACAAAAACAAAAAACAGACATGGAAGACCAGGCGGGGATCAGACTAAAGACAGCTTGAGCAGACTTCAGAATTTAGGTTTGGCCTAATTTCCCCCATAGATTTGATTGGTGCGTTCTAATCCTACATAATGGTGGGGGGCTTGGCTTCATTTGAATAGGGTGCCCTGAGAGCCTCCTGAGAAGCGGATGACAGTGAGGATTCATCCAGAGGTGGCAGGGAACATGAGACAGGGTGACAGTGAGGGTTCATCCAGAGGTGGCAGGGAAGATGAGACAGGTGGGTGCCAGGGAGACGTGTGAGCGAGCGGCCGGAGGCTGAGGCTGGGGGCGGGATGTTTGAGCCCAGAGATGACAGCAGGGCACAGGAGGGAGGGCAGGAGGGCGGAAGCAGCCAGACTGAGGGGTCCCAAGAGGAGGCAGAGGAAGAAGGCGGGTCAGCCGCCTGGGTTTTCCATGGGACGCCCGGGGAGGAGCAGGAAACAGGGGTGGCTGGGGGTGGGGGCGGCAAACATCTGGATGGGACCATCCCGCTGGCCGTCGGTGCGGAGAGCAAGGGCTCCTGAGAAGGACCAGGGCTGAAGGCCTGAAGGTCAAGCTCTGGATGCGACCCACTGTGCCGTGGGAGAGGAGCCAACTGCAGAGGGGTGCGGGGAGGCAGGAACTGTGTCATTTTCTGTAAAACATTCCACATTTCTTTCCCTCGTTTCTCTTCTTCTTTAAGCTTCTCTAAGCTGAGATATCTGGAGTCCGGCCAAAGAAAATGATCTCTAACAATAGAACCTTCAAGAAATCTGGGTGTCGGGGTGTCTACACCAGGAAACCTGGATACAAGTGCTGGCAAACCAGCCCGCTCTGTTGGGCTCTGGAGTTTTGCTTGTTTGCTTGTTGTTTTCGATCCTTTATAAACACAGTTTTGAGGAAAAAAAAAATAAGGTAGGGAGGCAAAATTAATAGCCTGGCTTAGGAGGAAAAAGTATAGAAAAAGTAACAGTTTTGTTGGCTTGAAGTAGTTCCCCATTGGATGAATTTGAAAGTGGCTGTTGTGGGTAGACTATAAAGGCAGACAGCAAATTCCCAACTGGAGGAAAGAAACGCAAGAAAGACTCACTGGGGAAAACGAACCTAGGGCTGATACTCTACCATCCTATCTGCTCCACTTTAGGAAGAGAGAAATCACAGAGATAAAGACATTTTTTGGAATCTCAGCCAGAGGGCAGAAAGCCCTGTGCCACACAGCCTGCACCTCCTGGGTAGGTATCCAGAGCCCACAATGAGGGAGATAAAGTTCTCTCTCAGATAGGGCACGAGCTGGGGAGGGCTTTGGTCAGGTGCAACAGTGCCCCACCTCTGGGAGCCAAGCAGCTCCAGAGGTGCTGGGAATCCACGGGTGCCCCTAGAAGGCTCCCAGCTCTAAGAAGGAAATCCAAAGTAGCCACTCTCTGGCTAGGGGAACAAACAAGAATAGAACACACTAAAACAAAATTGAAAACAGTTCATTGTAATGAGCGTTTAAGTAATATGCTTTTATATATTTCTCTAATCTTGCTTCTGAGGGCAGTTATTCTTAGTGTTAGTACACAGTAGAAGGGAGAGTTTATCTCACAGCCACATCCCCTAGGGAACCATTTAATTCTGAGCCATTTTATTTGGAAGAGAGATACACTCTCTACCAGGGTCCTCTCTCACTCCCTGAGGATGATATCTGGCAGATCCAACCAAAGCCTAATTGACGAAGGATCCTCTTGGATCTGTAGTACATAAATTGTTTGTTTGTTTTTGATTCAGGGTCCTGCTATGTTGCCCACACTGGCCTCCAACTCCTGGGCTCAGGGGATCCTCCAGTCTCAGCCTCCCGAGTCGCTGGGACTACAGGCCATACCGCTGCACCTGGCTTTACATAATCTTAAGAAACAGTGATACAGGCAACTTCACTGGTGTGAAGCTGCAGTGGTTACTGAAAAGCCGAGTTACTAACAGCATGTTCAAAGACAAGATTTCAGGGGCTTCATCCAACTTTAAAACCCGATGACCTGTCCCAGTCCCCTGCCCTCCTGCTCCTGTCCCGGGGCTCATTTTGCCCCTGCCTCAGGCCCATGCACCAAACATCCCCCTTCCAGAATGTCCTTCCCAGTGTCTCCAGGGCTCCCCTCTCATCTCCTGAGGGTCTCTGCCCACATGCCACCCCGCTGTGCAAAGCCACGCTGGCTACAATCCCCCTGTGATTCTCTGGGCCCAATTTATTCCTTTTCACCATCCTACTCCCATCTGCATCCACACAGTGTCCCCGTGGAGGGACGCTCCTGTGTCTGGGCTGCAGCAGGGTCTAACCCCTGGGTGGAGGAGGTAGAAACTGCTTGTGCGGGTTTTCGCCCAAGGAAGGATCAACCGTGATGAAGCCGAAGAGCATCGTGCACGTCCAGGTGGGGAAAGTGTGGAGAGGCGGTGGCTGTTCTCGGGGTGTGCGCTGGACGGTGCTCCAGAGGCTCTGGGGAGAGCTCCTGGGCGTGGGGCCCATCTCTCCCCAGGGTCAGGGCTCTGAGGCCCACATGTTGCCTGGGGGCAGCCAGGGCGCGGGTCCTTCTGCCCAGATCCCGGATGCTCGGATGCTCTTTGGAGCTGCCCTTTCGGCCTGAGGAGGGGCAGAGGTCGAAATGCCCTTCTGTGACTCTTGACACAGAGTCAGGGCGGGAAGCTGCCCTGCTCGTCGGACTCTGCCTCGCACCTGTCCTGCCTCTGCGATCGACGGCCCGGACCCCTGTGCACCTCGGCCCTGTCTCTTCTTGGAACTGCATGGAACTGCTCGCCTGATCCTGAGTCCTTGACTCATCTGTCCCTGAGGTCAGACCTGCTCACTCCCCCCAGCCCCAGGGTGAATGGAGGTTTGAAACGAAGACGCAAACA